GCAGGTGAACATTTAGTAAAAACCGAGTGGATCAGTCAACGGCGCGATAGAAGGGGCAGGGCGTATACGACGGAGGTTTGGGTCCGGTCGGGCAAAGAACGTGACCCGTTCCAAATCTCCCTCGTTTTTTTCACTCCCTCAAAATCTATCGCGCTTTTAACTACTGAGATAGGGGGAGACTGGTGGCGTGCATTGGTATGCAACAGTCTCTCATAGCGAGGAAAGGTCATGTTTGTGGGCTGATACTGCTTGTTTTAAATTAACATCAAGTTGCTTTGCATTTAGGTTTGCGACGACTGTATTCTTCTTAGAACTGGCGCGGGTGCTGTGGTGGAACGATGGTGGTACGAGAAGCTGGTGAACATCACATACGCTCCAAAGACTAAGGTACTATGCCTGTGGTGTCGACAAAAAGATGAGACCATCCTAAACAAGTTTTGTACCAAGAAGGTAAAACGTTTTGTCACGTGTAGTGTGTATGTATGCTTTTGTGTTGACATAGAGGTGTTTCGCCTGACTGTTCTTGGGTGACTTTTAAATGCGTCGCAAGAACACATTTGACGTACAGAGGAAGCCTTGCAGTTGTTCATGGGCTTTCCCGTCAGCTTTAATCCATTTTTATTCTAGTAACTTGATAATTATATTTATGGCAAAACAAAAAACAAATGAACTGGAAAGGATGCTCTCTAAGGGCGAGGTAACTGAGCAAGAATTGGAGAGAGAGCGTGACACAAGAAAGTTTGCGACGTATTTTTTCTTCCTCCTTTCTTTCAACAGTGTAAAGCTTTGTATTACTGTATCAAGGAAAGTTTACAACGAGCGGCTGACAGACTCAGTGACAAGGGTACAGGTCGGTTGATTTGTCGACTTGGTAAAAACGTACTTCTGTGTGTATTGCTATTCAGAGTTAGCCGGAGAAGGATAACCTAGTGTAGACTTTATGGAGCAAAGTAATTCATAGACGATGTGAACAACTGTTTATTGCCTGAGCTGGAATTTCCGATATGTGCAGCTTACAAATCAAGCCTTTTCCATTTGGTAGTTGCCCCAGGAAATGTATCTAGCAAATCGGATGTGCTCAGTGTTCTTTGATATGAAATTTGATATTGAAATTAATGTGAATCATATCAGTGTTTTAGTACAATCGCTTGGATCCGCGATCTTTGTTTGCCATACGTGTGCTGTACTGTATTAACCCTCGTTGTTGTGTTAGTTGTTGTTTGTTTACAGGTGTTCCGTCTGTGATTCGTCATGTAGCTTCCATCTGTGTCTGTTTCCAAGTTGTCTTTCCCCGTTTAGTGTGATCATCTGCAGCTGATGTTCAAGTTGTTACCAACAGTATTGTGTAAAACCCTTGTTTAAGTACCTCGACATATTGCACTGCCATTTTGTTGTAGTTTACAACTGTTTTGGTTGCTATTTTGTTTCTGTTTGCAATTGTTATGAGGTTTGCTTTTTCTTTAAATCAAAGAGGCTGACTAATCGTGTGTAGTTACCTTTGTTTATCTGTTATAAACCTTACAGGAGTTCAACTTGGAGGAGAATTCCCTGTAACGGTGAGTGGTTTTGTAGATGACGTTTGACCGTTTAATCCTTAAGAGGGGGACTGGCAGCTAATTTCTCCTCATAGTGTCACTTTTGAATCAAATAGTAAGGTGATGAGAATAAAGGAAATGATCGCCAACTGAAAGAGCTCTTGACTGTTATACAAACTCTCCTTGGTCAGAACTATAACAAATATATAGAGAACAGTATGGAGAATTTGCATACTGATGTTAGGCCAGTGTGAAGGGTCAAAACTGTTACTTTTCGTGCGTAACAAGGGCGGGCGTCTTTACGACAATACAAGCTATCAGCAATGAAGTCCTGATCCAACAACAAGACAGTACGGTCCGCAGTTACTTAAGTTTTATTCACCTTTATATTTTACAGGATCTTGATACCAACGAAAGTGGTCTTCTACAGGTCACGCTGGAAGGAATTGGATTAAAATTTGTCAAGCGACGAGTAAGTTGTACATTGGTTTGTTATAAGCACCTTTTAAAACTTTGAATTCCGTTTTCTTTTTATCGTTCCATGATTTGCTTATTTATTATTGCGTATTTTTTATTACTTGATTTTTTTAGGTGCATATTGATTTGTGCCATATAAGAAATTGTTCCACGCAAAGAAGTGTATTCCTTTTGGAGGAGTTTGGTGAGTAATGCGCTCAGTCACATTTGACTGCATAATTAGGAAAGCTTTGTCTGTGGCGATGTAATAAAGCGGATACAAGAGACTTTTTAGTCATATCTTTGCTTTCGAGATTATAAAATTCAGAATTTGCACAGATCTTTATCCTTTAGAGAGGTAAAAACATAACGATAAAGAAGAACCTCCATGACCAAATTCGAACGTAAAGCTATCTCCCTCGAGGAAAATTTTTCACTTTGTTCACTATCAGTTAACTCGAACTCCCACCCTACCCTTGTCTACCCTTGCACTTCGAACGGCTTTTTCTTCGCGGCCGTTCGACAGACTTGTGCTGTGTATGAAAGATACCATCAGGTTCAACATAAACATCATCCTTGTTTATTTTAGTGCCAGCAACTCAAGGAACAATTCAACACAGATTTGGTTCCCCAATGGTGAGTCGTTAACTCTACATTTTTTTTCATCTTAATTACTTTATATGACAAGCTGAATGATGCACGCATTTTGTTTGGTTCTGGATGACGCACCATTAAAATTGTTTGGCTTTTTTATTACTTTTAAAAACTATATTTCATGCTGCCATGGGTCTGTAGAGTACTAAATGACAGAGGACGTGAAAAGGTGATGAGCACACCAGTGACACACTTGGCTGCGCCTTGTGTGACACTTTTTGTACTTGCTACATTTTGACGTCATCTGTGATCTGTTGCTGAACAGACACACGACGACATAGAATACATTTGTTGACGAGATCTGCGAGTTTACGCAAGTTTTTAGCTGTAAAGAATACTTACCACACTTTTCTGAATTTGTTCTAGTGTAATCAAATTTGTTACGCCGTATTATGTCTGTTCTCCTATGTGGCTGCGTCGCGTAACTCAAACAACACTGGCTGAAGAACCACCTCACACGTTTGCGCATTCGAACATTGTGAAGGAGAGAGCCTGGATACTGGTCTCGACCTATTGCCCTCAATGCATAAGAAATCCAGTGAAGATCATCCTTTCCCTGACTTTCGAGAGAAAAAAGTACGCGGAGAATTCCCCATAGATTTGTGAACCGTCTGAATGTAGAATACGATAGACTATCATCCTGTCCATACCCTAGTTGTTTGTGATTCATTTCGCAAAGGATTTGTAATTTAATCTGCTTAATAGAGGTTTTGACACTAAGAGAGACGTACGACACACCCTTCACGAGGACGTATAGCCTTTAAAATAGTGCAGTGTGAAAAATTCTCATATTTGAAAATCCGTTAAGGATTAATGGAGGCAAATGGCGAGTATTTACAAAGCAGTTTGTGAGGCTTAAACTGAAGGGCCCCTTTTCAGTAGTGTGTTTAGACCTCTCCAATAAGTGTACCTCCTTGTTTTAAATTATTGCAAATAATTGAATCATTGTAAATAAGTCCACAATTACTTCAATGTTTCTGTCAATATCAGCCATCAAATAAGTAAAACTTGCGTCATCTTTCCACGTTCTGTGGACCGAGAAATGAGCCATTAATTTTAATTACGAACCAGAAAGGCTTATTTTTGACAGAAAGGAGCTACTATAAGTAGGAAGTTATCCGGTTGGTTTAAGACCCCAGGGATTACCAAACAACATCAATTACAACAATAAGAATAATAATAAGAATTTTAACTGATATTAAAGTATGTTTTATTTATTGTCAGCATTGCCAAGGAGAGGGAACTGCGCGAATTCAGTTAATAAAAGTACAAGTAATTTAACGTAATATAATGAAGCTAAGTTAAAGATAAAATATCGCATACACATTCATTCGTCACAATGGATGCAAAATGCTCAGAAGAATTCTTGTAAACTAAATGTATTCCAAACTGAAGGGTCTGGTAATAAATGGAGCATTTTGTAAGCGAGTGGCGGTCTGATTTTAAGAATTTCGCCCCATTTATCAGATTGACGCGCAAAAAGCGTTACTGAACTTTTCTTTAGAATGCTGCCAACGAAATTTTCATCCAAACAGCTCGCTTCAAAAAAAGGTTCAGGCGCTAGAATGGCCTCTAGGGAGTATATTTACAGATGGAAGAAGTTGGAAACGGTGAATACAAAAGGCGGTCAAGCCGTGGTCCAACTGAAAGGTGATATCCTTTTAGTTCTACTCGGTAAGTATTGTGTGCTTTGTACGAGGTGATCGGATGTTTTTGTCATTAGAAACTGATAAAGCCTTTGTCCCTCATTGATCCTTGCTGACTTTGTCCAAGCTAAGCTAACGCCATTAAGACTTAAAGCGAACGATATATTTTAATCAGCAACTCTCTTGTCGAGGTACCGTTTATTTTGACTGAAGTCCTCGTCCACTGATCAAACCATGAATTTCACTAAACACTGACCAGCTGATCATTTTTAATATTGGAATGGAAATCTTGTGATTAAAGAAGCATAAGATTTTTTCTGGAATTATTAAAAAGTTCAACTTGTGCGCGCAATGAAAATAGTTTTTGTAATGACATTGAATCCGTTTAACAGCTAGAAATGGTAGAAAATTGTCGGGAGAGTTTTCAATAGCTTGCCTTTTTTGCGTTATTTAGAATTTTGAATGGAGATTACTGTTGAAGAATAATATTATAGCGAACCCCGCAGAGCGTTGGGGATTCGTTTTTGCACCACCTGTCTGCGCCTAATAACCGACCATCTGTCAAATAGGAAATAATGTAAGCGGACAGAACTGTCAACAGCCTTTAGACGTGAGGTGTTTGATTGGTGGAAAGATCAACCGATATTAAAATCAAGCGATTGTCAATCAAACCTTCTCTTAATTTCCACTCGGAATAGGAAAAGAAAATTTATGCATGTTGGAGGCGAAAGAAAGAAAACATTACTAAACGCAATCTTAATCTTAGCTGGGAGGTGGCTGTTTGGTTCAACAGACAGACAGAGGCCGCGTTTGTGGTATTTATAGTTAGTTGAGAGGTAAAATATCACAAATTATTCACCTTTTGGGGTACGAGTGGGGGAGAGACAGATTGCCTTTATCTTAGATCATCTTTTTTCTGTTTAAGGTTTAGAAAAGATCCGTCTAGAATGGCGGAGCTCAACTGTGGCATGAAGTGTTTGAAGTTTATGCTGTGCGTTTTCAATCTATTTTTTTGGGTAAGTCGAACCTTCGATTTTCGTGGCGTTTTGCTGTTTAAAGAGATTCTCCTCTTTGTGTCAGTAATAGACGCTTTTTCATTCATTTTGTGGCTTGAACAAAAACAAGCTTTCGGCTTTTTGATCGCTGTATGCGGCACTAACCATTCATTAATGTTTAAGCGCGGCGTCACTCGAGTTAAATTTTTTCGGCTCACATTCAATTGAGATCAAAATAAGCTCGTGCGGAGACGGAGATCTTTGCTGTAACACTTACCCTAAATAAAAATATAAAGGTCAACAACTCTTGCTGGAAGCTCTCAAACTCCTGATTCAATCGATAGAAAGATTTCTTTTTGATGTTGTGATTTCTCAGACTGACCTCACAATGGCTGTTCAGCTGTAATTATAAATATTTTCATTTCTCACCCTTCAATTCAGAGCTGAAAACATGACAAAAACATACAGGGAGTTGCATGGCTTCAACACCTACCTTGAAAAAAAAAAAAACTTATCAGCGAATTTACGGATTATAATGTAGATCATGCCAAGAAAATGCGCAAATTCATAATCTTAAAGCACATAAATAGTTCTTGTGTTTTAACTCATCAAAAATGATTATTGCCGATCAGTTTTTCGTTGCAAAAAAAGGATAGTAGCCGCCATGTTGGCCTGAAGCTTCCTTCTTCACAGAAAAAAAAAGAGAAAAGAAAAGAATTAGATAAAAACACAGGTTTTAATTTCCGGCCATGAATACACTTTAGTTTTTGGTCAGTGCAGAAAAATGCTGATTAAGAAGTGACGAATTTCATTTCGTTAGTTCAAAAAATTTTCCTTTTTACCTCGCCGTTGTTCCTCAAAGACGCTTTCATCCGTCCATTTAAATCTTTAAAATGTGCGAACGAGCGGAAAATACAAAGATCAGAAAATCCTTCCGCGCGTCTTAATTGAAAAGACAAAAACACATGCAAGCAGGTTCGCAGGCATAGCGAAAAAACTCAGCTAGGGAAAATATTTTACAAGGCTTACGGCCGCATGTTGTTAGGTACCTTGACAACTTGATGTATATTAGAAACTGGTAGAGTTCATGTACGGCGAAAGGTTTCAATTTTTCAATTAATCTCAAGCTAAGAGAGTTGGTTACCAGGACAGCGAAGTACTTTAACAAAAATTCCAACTTGAACAGCACTAAAAGAAATCATGCCCCTTTTATGACCGAATTGTTTGAAGAGAAACAATAATGAAATGATCCTTTGTATATTCCAGAGGTATTATTTCTTGAATTATCATCTATGACGAGCTCTAGATTTTTCACGAGTCCAACAACGTTTGCATTTACATCGATTTCATTCCTGAAAAAGTTAATCAGATTCTAATATTATTTCTTGTGTGAATGACAACTCACATTCACTGCATTATAGAGTCGTTACGGTTGAGCTGCTAGTCTAAACTACGGAGACGAATATTTTCAGGGTATTTAGATATCCGTACCACATTTGATCAATGTTTGAGAAAATGAGCAATAAAATATCACAAACAAACCCGATATTTGTTAAGTAATTTCATATTAAATTTATCGAGAATAAACGGGTTCTTTGACGAGGTCTGTTATTGTTTTTAGCGCAAATTATGCACAACGCAAAATATTTTATGTTCATTACTTATTTGATTTCTACAGTAATATTTACAATTTGGGTAGATTAAGAGATATGGTAATTCAAACGAAGGGTTACCTTTATCCTAATTTCGAGGAATAAGCGTGTAAGTGTCTAAGAACGATAAACTCTTCATCTCATGTAATGAACTGAAATGAATTTCAACAACTTTGTTCTTTCTTTATAGCCAATGATTAAGGACGTTTAAGTGTTTCCTTGTGACTTTAAAAAAAAAAAATGATGTTCGATCTCCTTAGTAAAATTTCAAGTTCTAAAACAGGATTATCCTTAAACTCTTTCCACGCAACATCAGTATGCATATTCTCCATGCTGTCCTTCATACATTACTTAAGGTGCTAACAAGGAGAACTTGATTTTTTGAACTTACTTGGCGACCTTTTCCTGCCCATAACGACCTTAACGTTTGATTGAGGGGGGTGATATAGGCTCGATTTCCGCCGCTCTCTCGGGTCCGGTCTTTCTCGTTCCTCCCCTAGAAGAGTCTCTTCTGGGAGGAGCGCGGGCTCCGGTTCCCGAAAAACGGCTGGTAATCGAGCCAGGGGTGATATGGTGAGGAGAAATTAGATGCTAGTTATTCTCAGGTTAAGGGTAAAATTATGCATTACCTTGTTCAGCGGTCGTTCGGTCAATAACATAAGTTTTTTTAACGTTTGTGATTTGATCGGAGCCAGCTAAACGACTCGGAAGAGAAGCTTTTCTTTTCACCGCTGTGGTCTATTTTGCCTCCAGGCCGCCGGCATTGCAACGATGGCCGTGGGGATCTTTGTCAGAGTTAGCGCCAGTAACTACTCGGCCTTAATGGAGGAAGGTGATTTCAAGACCGCCGCCAATATTCTGATAGCCGCGGGGGCACTGGTGATGATAATTGGTGGTATCGGCTGCTGCGCCGTGGTGAAGGAGAATAAATGGCTTTTGCTTCTGGTAAATTTCTAGCACCGTCAGCACTCTAACCTTTGATCGTATTTTTCGGCTGGAGAAACAGGAACCGTCTGAAGTAGTCCACATTTCAATCTTTGCCAAGAAAACCCCAACAAATGACTGTGAATATATGAAAATAATATATGTGAACTGCAAGTTAAGAAATGAATATTAAAGCGATCTTCGCAGTAACGAACACTAATTGAGCAGTAGCAAAAAATAAAAAACGCTTAAAAAAAAAATTCAGGTTTGTACAGGCCTAATTGTCACTACGGCTCAATTTATTTCTGGGAAGATCGCTTTGATATTCAAACCGTAACAGTGGTTCTCTACAGGTCACTCCAAACATTACTATAATAGTATATAATACATGTAAGGATGTGGTTTTGTTCGCTCCACTCCAGCCCCGCTTGAAATTCTTTACGAGCAGTTTATTCCTCAATCTTGAACTGTGTGCAAATCGCTCTCGTTCAAAATCAGGTCTAAGTATGCAATTTATATCTCTCAATCTCCTTGTTGGAGAACGAGCTAATTACGGGAAACTTCCTTGAAAAAAAAAAAAGAGAAAGAAAAGAAAAAAACTCTCGTTTTTCTTTGTCGTGTTCATTTCATATTTGATCCCGGTCCCACTCTGTAACTCATTTTTCTCTACCAATACAGTATTCCTTCTTGGTGCTGATGATCTTCATTTTGGAGATTGCCTCCGGAATCATGGCCTACTCTAAGAGAGACAAGGTAAATAAATGAGTAATGAACTACGTATGAACTGCATTCAGCAGAGACCGTCTGCAGCAAAGGGAAAAACTTTTCCGTTTATTAAACTTAAGTAGAAATATTGCTTTAAACCTGATGTTTCTTCAATTCTACGACCATCGAATAAACTCAGTTCATTTTTTACCATTTGTTGTTAACGTAAACGTCATGTTAAACTCACCCGTGTTTTAGATTTCTAACGAAGTAGCCTTTCAGTCAGTGTTGGGAGCAAGATGGGAGCTGAGGATAGAACCAAAAGAGACTACATGGCTACATAAAAAACTTGATTACTCGGAAAAAAAAAATTCACCGGCTAACGATCTTCACGGGATTCTTAGTGTATATTTTGCCGATCGGGGTCAGGTTCCAAAGCCTTCAAAAGTAATAACCCATGGAAATTTTGGCGGTTGCCTCTTACCCCACTCCCTGAGAAATAACCAGTGAAAAATGTGTGAATGTTTTATATATCTACATGTGACATAGCAACTGACCATACATTATTTTTTCAGGTCATTAGCAAGATTGAAGAGGCGGTGTCTAAAACAATCAAAAACGACTACGGAGAGAAGGACAAGCAGAAGCTGACTGAGGCCATTGACAAAGCTCAACAAGAGGTCAGAAATCAATCGTAACCAATCTTTTTTTTTGTAAAAGGACCACTTCAAATGGCTCAATCCAGTACTTCCCCTCAATGAAACAGTTGTGTGGCACTATAAGCTATCGAACACATTAATTAAAGAGATTTGTTAAAATGTCGTGGAACAATTCGGAGCGAAGGATAATTGCTCAAGGACCCACGGGGGAACAAATTGACTACCTGGCGAGCGAGGCGGCGTGCGCGAGTGACACACTCGCGATCGGTTTGGGTTTTGCGTCTGATTAACTGATGGTGGTGCGAGTTTTCTGGACCAATCACAAAGCAAAGTAGAGTAACCACAAATCGATTATTTTATATACAAGGCTAAAGATTAGGAAAATATTATTAAAATGTTTAAACCAAACGTTTTCGGCTGTTTGCCATCATCAGAGTTGAAAATAATAACCGTCTGTACATAAATATATATCTTATGTGATTCCCGATGCGAAAAGTTTGGAGACATAAGAAATAACTTGTTTGTTCAAACTGGGGCGGAATTGTTGGATCATTAGCCCCTCCACGATCCTACGCTTGTGGAAAGTTTCTGCTGAGGAGAGAACACGCCAAGTGAAAGAATGCGATGCAACAATTCCGCCCCAGTTTGAACAAAACAAGTTATTTCTTATGTCTCCAAACTTTTCCCATCGGGAATCACATAAGATATATATATATGAACAGACGGTCATTATTTTCAACCCTGATGATGGCAAAGCCGAAAACGTTTGGTTTAAACATTTCAATAATTTTTTCCTAATCTTTTAGCCTTGTATATAGAATATCCTTTATTTAGCGAACATTATGGACAACAAATCGATTATGGATATACTTTGACACAATTTGATACACCTCTAGCGAGATATCACATATACCAAGGTTTTGTTTCCACTTATCAACAGTTGATGTGTTGCGGTGTTTCGTCTGGGGCTGACTGGAAAACATCTCAGTGGTTCAACAGTAGTGACAAATCAGAATCAGTCCCTGAGTCCTGCTGTAAGAAAATGGCTGCTGGCTGTAGTAAAGGAAATTCTCCAAGCATCTATCAAGAAGTAAGTACTGAGGACTTGGTCATGTTTTTCTCAAATCATTAATAGTTCATGAGGGAAACAGCCAATAAATGAGGCATATTTGGGTCACATGCATGAACCCTGTTATCTAATGAACACTCAGAGGAAAATCTTAAGGGTTTTGATCTGAGATGAAACATGGTTTTGATCTCAGATCAAACACTTGCATTTAAATGAGCATTTTCAATAATTAATGCATCGTTAACAGCAATTCCAAAATGACCTGAATATTATTTCATGGATGGTCTTCGATGGATATCTCTCCCCCAACTTCTTGGCCACCTCCATCTCAAACTTGCGAAGCCAGTACATAATTCAAGCTTACTGCATTTATTTCTTCAATGCCGGTAAAAAAGACCCGTACGACCTTGAGTAAATTATAGTCTTGGAATAGCGCTCCTGGATCTGAAACGGGAGCTATAACCGACCAAGAAATTTGCCATTCGCCAAAAATTGTTACCGCCCATTTTTTCTTACATTTGGTATACGAGGGAATAGCCTTCTCGACTAACTCGTGTTCTTCGTAAACCGTTTTATGCTCCCTAAATCGTGCTGCTCCGTCTTCACTCATGGTCGCACACCAACCACACCAAAGCAATTGATCATGCTTGCATGTTAACGTAATGTTACTGAAAATAGCAAAATTGCACCGCTGCATACATGATTGTCCTTTAACTTGGGGAGGACAATGGAAAAAATATATCCCTGCATATTTATTTTATTGTTTCGTTTGGAAGTCGTCTAAAAAAATCGTGCGTCGCGTTTCATCAGGGATTCCAAACACCTCGAAACAATCTGTTTCTCAGTGTTTGGAACCCCTGATGAAACACTCGCATTCGTTTTTGATATATTACATAAAGGTAGCCCAGTTGTTTGACTTTTACTTCCTTTTATGCCTGCTTATCTGAAGTTCCCAAAAGTCGTTAAGAAGTTTTGCTAGCATTGCAATTTGTCGCAAGGAATACAGCCTGCAGCCTGCAATTTTTAGAACGTCCATAAGAGTGGATCTTTGTTCATCACTTTAGAGCTAAATTTTCTGCGCTTGATGTGCTGCCATCAAGCTTTTTCCTCTGCTTGCGTACATAGTGCATAGGAGCCCCCGAGCAATTAACAACGCCTTGATTTAAAGAACAGTGTTCAAAACACACCTTGTCAATTTTTCATATCTCTCAAAGCGTCCCAAGTCATCTCAGTGATATTAATGAATAAAGGCTGATAGTTTCGAAAGAAACTGTTTGGGGCTGCGTCGGTGGGAGTAACGAAATAATTTGGATATATCAACAAAGTTGAAATGGTAAATTTCAGTGATATTAAGTAAACTTAAGCTGGTTATACTACAAATCAGACGGTGACAGAGATTGAAGAAGACGTTTCGCATTTGAATTGTTGTGACTTGACTTATCACCTTTACTCTCCAACAACAACATTCTCAAGCTTGTGCACCGAGCCCTGTACAGTAGCTCGTGGCCTGAAAATCTTAAACTAACGGCATGGCTGGACAAGTTCGAAGATCTCATCGGTTGCATGACTGCGCAGTGGGATGGTCTTCTCCTTCTTACAGGCGACGTGAATTTCGATCTATTGGGCATACCGGACGCCCCAACGCGGCGATATATTTCCCTTCTTGACACCCTTAATGTCAAGCAAATCATTGACAAACCTACAAGAACAACAAGAACATCACGAACCTTACTGGATCACATTATTATCAATGATCCATCCAAAATAACTA